GCTTTGCAAATTAATCAATACAATAAATATCATAAAATACTTATTAAAGAATCGATTGCGAGTGCGTAACTTTTTTTTTTTTAATTTCATCAATATTAATCACATTTGACGAGAATTTTCATCATTATGATGAAATAACGATCATGCTATCATCGAAAAAGTATCAGGAACTTTTCATATAAATTTTAGTATGAATAATGAATAAATCTTGTACTGTGGATATTGATATTCTAACGCCTTTGAAAAATCATTATTTTATCTCATTATAAAATACAAAGAGACGAGTTGTGTAAAATTCGTATGTAAATCAATATTGCAATCATCTTAATAGCCTCTTAATCATCATTGACTAATATAATGACGCTCGAGAATAAGATTTTATAGTTGTACGTCTGTATATTTTATAGCGGTTAGCGTTAAATGCATTCGAGTTAACTGCCATCGGTCGCTCGTTCTTCTATCTTAGTAGTGACAATCGGATAAATCAATCAAGAAAGTTAAGCGCGCTTGATCATTGTAAACGATGGCGGCGGGGCGGGGGTGGGGAATGATTAATGTTATAAGGAAGTGATGTAGGAAGCAACCATTTACGTTCAATCACATTTTATAAGGACTTGAAATTTGACTGAAGGCGGTATTGCAAAGGTCTATATAAATATTACGCGGCTACATGCCATTTGATTTTATTCATATTACGGTGGATCATTGGCCGGTATATCGGGATCTTGTCACATCGTTTGTCCAACATAAGCGATATTATATGCAAATTCAGGCGACTCACGCGGCAAGAGTAGAGTTTGAAACGTAAATATTTTGCGAATGATTAAATAAAAAGGGCATTGGAATTGGTAAGCCGATGAATTAGAAACTTCCCCCATTAGCATCAAACACGTTAAAATTTCATAGTCCAAAAATTCATAAAACAATGATCGAAGGCAAATAAGTTTATTATCAATAACGTACAGTAGCCTCGGACTCGTACGTCAAAAACGTATTATTTGAATAATTATTATTATATCTATGCCGTTTATACGTCTATATATGAAAAAAAAAAAGCAAAAATAAACAGATACAAACAAAAACGCTAAATAAATTTTGATAAAATCGACGGCCATTTACATTATTAATCAGCAATTGTGCTGATAAACTTTACGTCATTATCAATACAAAATTTAAAAATAATGAAATTTTACATTGTGTGTCGTTGCAATACATGCCCACGAGTTTATCAAATTTTATTTCAACAATCGATTAAAACGTAACGGTTGCTAATTATACCTTGTAATTAAGTGTAATAAACTATTAATGAAATTATTAAAAACATATATCCGAATGCTATACATTACATAAAAAAAAAAAAAAAAAAAAAAAAAAAAAAAAAAAAACAAATCAATAAATAATGTAAATAATCTTGTTTCAATGTATTCACGAATGTCGTAAATATTGATAATATAAAAATGTTAAGTTTCTATATAAAAAGAGTTTTGCCATCTAACCCCATGAGACGTTACAGAATTGCGAATAATATATAACTAATAATAATTATGAAAAATTGTTTAAAAGTATTTGATTAACAAAAAAAGTATCATACTGGATTGCAATGTTTGTGTATATTCTGAAAATGAAAATGAAAATGTTATAATAATTGTATTACACGTAGAAAGAAATGGGAAGCAATAAGCACGAGAAAGAAGAAATTATAATTCATGGCATCGTTATTAAAAGTTCTTTCAAATCTTCATTTTATTAAGTAGATTATATTAAGTACATTAATATAATAATATTATCATCATTTTGATAAAAGACCCCAAGGTATAAGTGATTTATTAATTGAATATTAAAATTCATTAGAATTTTCACATAAATTTAATTACACTCTTGGCAAATTAAAAGCCGAGGGCTTTAAAAATCTGTCTTTTAAAATTATCATTGTAACTTATCGAGTTTTTAATTAATTTATCAACTTAGATGAAAAATAAAATTTTTAAAAAATACTATTAATATTAGTAGAAATATGATGGAAATCTAAACGAAATATTAGATTTTCCAATTAATTAATCATAAAAGTCAGTATTTAATATATAAGCTTGTTTTATTAATATAATTAAAAACAAAACAAAACAAAACAAAACAAAACAAACAGAAGAAAAAAAAAGGAAAATAAATTTAAAATTACGTTACGATAAAATATTTATAGTTTTATTTTTATCAATATTCTTTTCGAGATCGATATTTGGCGATGTAAATTAAAAAGAAAAGAAAAAAAGCCGAGGGTGGAACGGATTATACGTAATAACGGAGTTGACTGTACAATAGATGGAATTGAAATTTATTCGTTCCTTTCTCTATCTCTTTACATAATAAGATTTTCGGAAGACTCTTGCTTGAACTTTGTTCAACCGAAAGCGAAAATTTCGTTTGCTTTCATTCGCTAAAGGAAAATGTCCCCATATTTGCTAAGAGGTCCCAACGTCCCTGTTACCCTGTTATTTCGAAATTTCACAATTCCATTGTTCGTTTTCTCATTAATATTACTGTTTATACTATATTATACATTTCGTCCGCTGTATTAAAAATCCAATTGGTAAAGTAGTTTTTGAGTTGTTTTAATTGCTTTATACTAGTGTGCATGGCGACATTATGTAACGCACATAGGAATATACGAATGAATCGAGTTGGAGTTAAATGCATATATATTAAGTTTTAAATGTTGTAAACCATTGGATGCATGAATTAATAAACTCGCGTCTTTGGTTTTTTGTTAATATATATTAGAATTTAATATAAATCAAAATACATATTTTTAAGTAACAGACGTAATAAAATAATAGACTTCCTTCCCTTACATACAGCGACGATAATATTAATGAAAAAATTGTTATTATAAATATAGATATACGTAGGTTAGTAATGTAGAAAACGTTAACGTTAAATATATTTAATAGAGGGTGAGAGCTTAATCTATCTCTATGTATCCAAATGAAAATTCGATATTTGCTTTGCTAATTATTTAAGTGCAAAAGATTTCAGTATAATTTTCATTTACTCGGTGTGTTGATAGTTGTAGTTTAAATTATAGTACAAAAAAAGATTTATCAAATATGTGCCTTTCTATTTATATTGCCCAATAAATTTATATGTATATAATATATAACATAGAGAATAAGAAAGA